TCGATCTGATTTTTTATAAAGTATATGATCACATTTATCATTGTACAAGAAATTTGGGGTGTGGATGTGGGTGTAGAATGTGAATGCACCCACACCCACACCCACACCCGTCTTCATCAATTAATCCAACAACAGTTAATACTTTTAATTATGCTTTTGATCGTCAATCAACAGCAGCTTCTAATCGTAATATTAAGCTTTTAACTAAACAAGCACCACCTGGTCCTTATAATTATGTTCATCCGAATACACATCCAACAACTGCTGTTGTTACTCGTTATTTATCAACTGAACCACCATCGCATGATTCTGTTAATTATGGTTATCTATTTGAATCTCCAACAGGTGTTAATCCTAATTTTTCTTTTGATCCTCAATCAACATCAGTTGCTAATCCTAATATGCTTTTAACTAAACCAGCAGCATCTCGATCTGATAATTATGTTAATCCAAATACACGTTCAACAGATGCTGGTGCTAGTCATTATTTACCAAGTGAACCACCACCGCATGATCGTGTTAATGATGATTTTCCAAATGAATCAACAACAGTTGACAATGATAATTATACTTCTGCTATTCAAACTACAGCAGCTGCCAGTCCTAATTATGGTATTTTAATTACACCACCACTACCACCGCATTCTATTAATTATGATCCTTCAAACAATTCATCAACAGGTGCTACTGTTGATAATTATTCATCTACACAACCACTACCACGAGATCCTATTCATGATGATGATTTTCCACCTGAACCATAATCATCTGGTGCTAATAATTAAATAAATTGCATCAATAAATTGAACAGGAAAAAAGAAAAAAAAAAAGAAACTGTTTGAATACTCAATTGTCATACTGGATTTTTTTCTGCCGTATTTTTATTCATTGTATTTATCTTTATGATTCATAAATATTTAGCTAGAAAACTAATTAGTTTCGCAGACCGTTCTTTAGCAAGTTGAGACATTGCTTAAGAAGAATTGGTACAAGAGTTTGATGAAGCTAAGTCCATGTTGGTAATATTGATAAATTAGATTTAGATTTATCATCTGTTTGTTGCGAATTTGTATTATTTTCCTTTGATATATCAGCAGATGTAGTTGTCTTATTATTTGATGTTTGTTGTTCATCTGAATGATCCGCTGTTTGAGCTGTCATTTGTTCTGATGATGATATACTTACAACATTTTTTTTTCATCTGATTCACTATCTGTACTTCATATTTTTGCAAACTACTTATTTGACATGAAACCATTTCTGCATTAATTAATTGTATTAATATTAATTGTTTAAATATCTGATTCCGATAAAATAAAGTTGATTGATTTATATTTAGCCCAAATGATGGTGCATTATCGTGATAAATAATAGATACTTAAAGACGTGTACCATCATTATCTAATGGTGTTAAAACAAGATAAACAAATTTTCTTTTTTTTGTCTTTATTTCGGATATAGAATAGACGGTGGTGCAATGAGTTGTAGAGACATGCGTTGCTTATCTGATGATGAAAAAATATATATACGCGTCTTTCTCTTTTTTTTCTTCTTTTTATCTAATACTCGAATATATCTATCTATTTTCTTCCTCTTCTCTAGTGTCTTTGTTCATCATCACCGATTTCTTTCTTCCACGTCTTTTTCTTATTGACGTAACAACAACGTTGACAAAAACAGACATACAAAGTCATAGACAAGATCATATTACGCTAATATCTTACTGACTTTCAGTAGTATCTTATTACAGTGAAACCTCTCTAAGATGAACACTAACGGGACTGTTCAAAAAGTGTTCATTAAAGGAGGTGTTCATCTTATGGGGGTTTCACACTGAATGAAGTTTATATATGTATACAGTACATGGTTAGTATACACGAATGATAACTATACACCTTTTATATTAATATCTGTTACGGTCAGTGCCAAATAAAAATGTATTTTTTTAATCTCTTGCACATACTTCTTTATTTATCGTGTAACAAAGAAAAAGAATATTTTATTAATTTGAACTATGAAATATCTATTCAATCTTAAACAAAAAAAGTCAAAAGAGTATTCTCATCTATTTATTTACATTTAATTATTTTTTATGAAAAACGTCTTTAATCGTTGCTTGCTTGACTCCTTTCGAGTCGATGAAAAGTTGAGTAAGTTGTGAATCCAATTGAGAAATAAGTGTATGTAATTGTGGTTGTTGAGTGGCAGCTAAAATATGTAGTCGTCGAACCATTTCCATTGCTTCGGTGAGTTTAGGCGGTGCTTCAGTTGGCATGTCGTCATCTTCGTTGTTATCTGTGGTTATGTTGTCACCACAGCCTGCATCGACGACGATCAGATTGTCATCGATATCGTTCCATTCGTTGAAAGCTGAAGTTTCTGAATCGATTTCGACGAATTCATTAGCATTAAGACTATGTCCGCCGATGGTGATATGAGTAAGAAGTGTATCTAAATCTTGTAAAGCTGTTGCGACGTCGTTATCACTGTTATTAACCATTGTAGTAATGGTTTCACTTTGAGTGTTTGAATTGACGAAACTCGCCATACGAAATGTATTGCAAACTGTCGATTGTGTAACAGCTTGTCAAGCGCTTTTCGTCCAGTGCACCGCATCGAGAGCTGTGATAATAATATTATCAGATGAATTGGCAACGGCACACCTTGATATTACATGTTTAACAAGCTGTTGCCCTAAACGAATAGATGGTGTTGATTACAAAAATTAAAAAAGTCGTATTACTCACGATAGTAACACTTGAAATTTTTGATAATTCCCTGGTCCAAAGGCTGCAGCTTTGAAGTTGTATTAGGAGGAAAAAATTTAAGAGTAATGTTGGAATATTGAGCATCGGAATTATGACAAGGAGCGTGATCAATGAATAATAAGATTCTACGCTTTTGCTTGATCATGCTGTTGTTGATACTGATAAGCCATTGATCGAACAGACTAGCAGTCATCCAACTTGTACGATTTCACCGCCATATGACAGGTAATTGTTTCATATTCAGATTTTTAAAACAGCATGGTTTTGCCGCTTTGCCTAGAACAAAAATATAAGCAAGGATAATTAGTTTCCATCAAATCTAGAATTAGAAACTTACCGATTAGAAACGGCTGTAACTTATCGGTTCCTGTCATGTTCGTATAAAGAAGAACGGTGAAACGTTCTTTGGATCGTTTCCCACCCTTGCAAGTTTCTTTGGACGTAACGAGCGAACGATTATGTAAAGCTTTGAAAAATAAACCAGTTTCGTCAGCATTGTAAACGTCATTGGGATCGTATTTATAAATGATTGATGAAAGTCGATTTCGCCATTCCTCAACGGTTGCAATGTCCACTGCTGCAGATTCTCCACATATGGTTCGATATTGTATGCTGCGACGCGTTCTAAAGTTGTCAAGCCATCCATTACTGGCTTTAAACTCATCAGGATTTGCACCACCTAGTTGTTGACGAATTTGTCGGGCTTGTTCTTGTATGAGTGGACCTGAAATAGAAATGTTCTTACTATGCTAAATGACGAACCATTCGTAAATTTTTTGATCGAGTTATTCATTAAATTCATCTCGAAAGTTGTGTTTCTTTGTTGATTTTTCATTTGCTTCGTAACTTTCGACGTATTCTGCCTTGCGTTTGATAATATTTGTCACATTGCCGATCGAGATCTTGTAATTCTCAGCAAGTGTAGGATAAGAAGTGTTCATTTCATTTTCACGAATTAATTGCACTTTTTCAGATAAAGTTATTGTGTGTTTTGTCGCCATTTTACAATTGAAAGTAGAAATGTGCGTTATTCTCTCACATAGAATCGATTGACTCATCGCGGACTATTCATTTTCGTTGGTCTGTTTGTTCCATAAATACGACAAAGCTTGTTATGACGAATTGACCGTCCAAATTTGATTTATTATTGCTTTATTATGTACAGTCTATTTTTTTTATCTCCTTATTTCATACACGAAAGCGTAATTGATCAGTGTGTGTTCACTATACAGAGGTTTTTTCTACAGAAATCCCCGAAAAAAGTGTTCAATGTTCAGAGTTGGGAGATGTTCATCTTGCGGAGGTCTATTTACAGCAAAAATAGATCGGGGAGACCTAAACATCTGTTCAAATGGGAGGTGTTCATTAATAGAGGTTTTACTGTATATAAAATACCATTAAATGCATCAAATTCATTATTTTGATCAGTAAAAAGTAGTGGGGGTCAGTAACTACTACAGTTTTCTTTCTTGCTATCTATATTCATGAAGATTTTGTCTACATTGAAAAAAAAGAATAGGAAATCTAGAAACTATTTTTAGAAATTTTGTATGCTCACCTCATATTTTTTCTGACTAGATGATAGTGCTATGAGTCATTTTCTACTCAAGCTAATTCTTGTTGTATTTCATACATTTTAAATAAATGAATGCTAATGTTAAAATATTTTCTACTTTATTTTGTTCATCCATAAGAATTTTTTTCATTGTTTTTTGCCATTATTATATTATATGTAATAAAAGATAATCTTTATAACTGAAAGCAACGAGAAAAAACGAAAAAGCAAATAGAAATTATTCTAAATAAGTTCTTTTACAATAGACATATGTAAAAATGTTATCTCTTTCAATTGATGCATAATTATAGTTAATAATGAGTGATTAACGAAAAGTAAATCCAATTTTTTGAAAAGCCTATGCATGTTCAGAAAAATTTTTGATAGAGATTGTTTAGTCTCAAGAATTGTCTACAGAAATATATTAATTAATTTTTGAAAATGTTTCTGTCATATGGAATTTTTCAAACTAAAATTTATGAAATGAAAGTAAATATTCTTTTACGAGTCATGCTGTTAACGCTAGATTTTTAATGATAAATTGGTTCTAGGAAAGTTTATTGTTTATTCAGTATGTGACTGATGATTCTTTCAGATATTTCGATGAATTGTTTTTGTCACAATAACACTAAAGATTTTTTCGACTTCTTATTATTCAATTAATCAGACATAAATTGAATTTATAATAGTGAAAAATAAAAATATACCAATTCATAGTTTAATTCAAATTCTGCTTCGCACACTGAAAAAAAACGGTACGATACCGAACCAAAAAAGGTACTTTGGACGAAAAAAAGGTTTCGTACACCGTACGGAACCTAAAAAGGTTTCGAATTCGTTGCAATTCTCTGAACC